TGTGATGCTTAGCCGCGCCGCATAATAATCCCGTTATCTCAATCAAACTTAGACATGTAGATATTATTAATTTCGTGCTGTGCTTAACAGCAAAGGGAGAAACTGTGAAAGTACAACTCAAAACCACGTCTTTATCGCTCTCTGTATCAGCACAGCTACTCTATGGCTAGCTCACTATTACCGTCTCTTACTCTGCAGTTGTGGAGTCACAATTTCTGAGATCATGAGTGCCCCCTTCCATGAGGCACGAAAACTGCCTGCCTCACCTCGAATCTGTTCTCTGCCGTTTATGATCTCTCCTCAGGACACGAAACGCGTTACACACTCAGTTGGTGACAATAGAAACACAGTACATTACATACATAAGCTAAATTATTGAAAATCAGTTCATACATTAAATGTTTTTAACCATTTTATTGGCGATGTACAGACAGGAGGAGCATGCTCTCATAGAATGGCAACCGGTGCAGTTAGCGAGAGGTTGCGCAATCCCAGGTGAGGCTCGGCTCACTGCTGCCTCACCGGCTTCGCTTCCAAGCATTTGAAAGAAAATTCAGCGATTTTGAAGAAAAAAATAATCAGATTTGGTTAAATTAAATGAAAACACGTGATGGTGTTTTCTTTGTCTTGATGGTGTTTTCTTTGTCTTCCCATTTAGACACATGACAGTAAAGAGCATCTTGCTATGATGGAGAGAGTCCTGGGTCCGATCCCTACAAACCTCCTGGAGAAAACCAAGTAAGCATTCATTTATAGTTCTAACAATAAATATTTGGATTGTGCCATTCTAATTTTGATCGAAAATACTTCCTGTTTCTGCAACTCATTTTACACAGGTAATATTACATTTTGTAATAATCAAAGCTATTACCTATAATTTTTACTGCTAAAAATGTTCAGTACAGTGCTACGTGATTATTCTGACAAAAAGCACCTAAAATATTACTTAGTCAAAAGGAAAGTATTACAATTGGGTTTTATTGAGCACAAACTCTTGATCAAAATGGCAGCATTTTGCCTCATCTGTAAAACTTCTTTCCTCAGTTTGTTGGATTTTCCCCTCAGCTTAAAGCTGTTTTTAATTCGAGAGGATTAAGTGTACTCCTCCTCTGCTAATTCTTATGTTCAACTTTTATTCTTTCATTGAATTTTTCACAAGGAGTAGAAGTGGCATAGATTAAGCATGAGACGTTTGCTTTAGTCTAAACATTTGCATGTCATATAGGAAACGACGATATGTTCACCGAAACAAGTTGGACTGGGATGTTCACAGCTCTGCCGGGAGATACGTCAAGAAACACTGCAAACCCCTCAAGGTACGTGGTTCATTGTGGAAATAGAATTATTTAAATGCATCTTAAAACAAAAGCAAGTGCACGCTTTTCTTCATGCAGAAATTCAGTTCTACTTCCTCATTTTGCTATTGTAGTAGAAGTAATCACTTTCAAACTCGTTCTCCTCCACAGCATTACATTGTATCTAGAAGTGAAGACCACCGGCTGCTCTTTGACATGATAGAGAAGATGATGGAGTACGACCCATCGAAGCGCCTCAGCCTGGAGCAGGCCCTTCGACATCCCTTCTTCGACTGCTACTACAAGAGCAGCAGTAGCCGGAAGAGCGGCAGCCGAGGCAGCAGCACCAGGAGCTCCAGCAGCAGCAGTGGCGGTAGCAAATGAGGCCGAACCTCTCAATATATAGACCTACCTGTTACCATGATGGTTCAATCGGCCTCTATATCCTGACTCTCCAGGAGAGATCTACTCTTGACTGCATCAGTCACCGCCCTGCTTTGCTGTCCTGTCCATTAAACTGCTGTTTGGTCGCACTCATAAAGTTCTCATTTCTTTTGCCATTTAGATGTCAAGTTCAACCGTTTGTTTTTTGTTTATTTAAATTGTAACATTTACGCTTATGCCTCTTTAAATTATGGGATTTTTAGTTTGTATATTTAATTGACATGGGTAAAAGAGTTGATTCTTGCTTAACAGTGCTTTCTTTTGGATTGTGAATGTATAATCTACATTGCAGGGTGAAAATTTGTACATAGTCTTTGTTTCCATTTTTCATTGACTGGTTATGTATTTTTTGCATTATACGTCTCAATAAACGTGACCAGAAAGATCTAAACGATGCGTAAGCGTTTTCATTATAAGCAGTACCTTTAGTAATCCACATGATGGCGGCATGGAGCCCTTTTCTATTAAAAGACGATCACCTGAACTTAACCAGATCATCTGAATTCCCATCAAGAACGGATTTAAAAAAAAAATAAATAAATACCGAGGTGGTGAGTTTATCGAAGCTGCAGATTTTGGAAAATTATGTAAGGTTTTCAACCAAAACATTTTATTTTTCTGTGGGCAGGTTCGACCTTTACTGAACATTGTAAGATTGGTACTGACTTGTTTCAACAACCGTAAATAAAAGTATTAAGTTATTCAAAAGGTTTAATTGTTCCCTAAATTGAGAGATTCATTAGTAAACCAGTCTCGGGAGAGTCAGCGCATAATGAGCTGTGCGTCCTTAGTGGGCTCCGTTTGTTCTCCGGGTTATTCTCACACCCAGTTGTCAATCTGCAGCCTCCCACGTGGTCAGGCAGGGCGGCGTAGCCACACCAGTTTATCGCGCAACTTTTAGAAAGGAAAACATCTGATCCAATCGTATCCCCGCAGAAAGCTCCGATGTGAGTCTTTTCTGGTTGGTCTCCGCGTTGCTCCCATCTGTCCGTGGTTCAAACCCTGCGCGCACTGCTGCTTCCTCTTACTCCAGGACAAATTTAGGATTGCGCTTTGAAGCCTGAGCCCACTGTGCTGCTGTCTGGTGTTGTTACTGAGTCAGGAGCGCTGCTTACTTACTTCACCGAACTTTATTGCAACTTGTTGACAGGACTGCATCAACAAAAAGAAGGAATTTCGGTTTGGTTCTGGTCACCGTTTGGGAGTTTTGAAGCATGGAGAAAGCCAGCAGCGGGTCTAACGGGGAAAGCAAGCCGGTGTGTCAGTGTGCCACCAAGTCTGGAGTCCAGCAGTGGCTGCCTGGCTTTCCCATCGCTCTCTGCCTGCTCATGTCTCTGAGCTCAGTCACCGTGTGTCTAGTGATGAGCTTCAGGACCCACCGGCTGGAGAACCGGCTGCACATGGAGATGGACAAGGCGCCCATCCTCCAGGCTCCGCAGAGGTCTTTCAAGTACGAGGATGGGACTCTCGTTTCAGAGCTCAGCGCCACAGTGGGAACGCTTGTGGAGGAGGTACATGATGAAAATCGATTATTTTTGATAAAAAAATATGTGGTGGTTGGGAATATCTCCTGGTCTGCGCCATTAGGGATTGGAGGAGAACATAGTCTACTGCTAGACTCCTCAATAAATTATAGATGGACCAATCAATCAGCCATATGTGGGAAAACATCAATTTTATCTTGATCGGCTCTGATGATCATCAGTGCAGAAAAAAATGGGGTTTTCCCCCTCTGTCTATCAAATCATCAAACTAATAACTTCCTTCCAACTTTTTTTTGTTTTTTAAACACAACCAACAACACACACTATGGCATTTTTACAAGTTTAATAAAGGACAAGATTTAGAGACATGAGGCTTTTACAGGTGTGATCCTGTAATTCTTTGTTTTGTGATTGATTTAAAATTGCTATTTCTGTCAGAAGTCACGTAGCACATACTTTTTCCTCTTAAAAAAATGAATCTTCAAGTCAGACCTCCAAGAAAACCAGAAATTGGTGTCCACTAGGAAAAAGCCTGATCAGTGCATCTGTACGACCAGTTGTAGTAGACATTTACCCATGTCTTCATTTAAGCTAGATAAGGACTTTATGTGAGAGACAGGGAGCTTGTACAACATTATAACCCATCCTATGGCCATGCAAATAGAAGTTTCATTGTTAGAAATATTCTATTTCTTACTCTGTTTTGTGTGTTTTCAGAAAGTGGCAGCTCTGATGCCGAAATTGCGGACCGCTAGGGATGTTGGCCAAGAGTGCTCCTGTCCTCCAGGTACCTGTATCTGTTTTTTTTTTGTTTGTTTTTTTTAATCTTTAATATCTGCCATTACCAAAACAGACAAAACACACAAAACATGCTGTGCAAACAGTTTTATCTGCTCCTAAACTGGAGGATTTGTGAAGTCTGAATGATTTCTCTCAGAACATGACTTTTGGACATTTGGGACGTCCAGCCTGATCCCTCCTGTGTCCATCGGGGGGCTGATGTTCGCCTCGGTAGACGGGGCCAGTTGTGTGCCAGGACAGGCTCTGCTGGACTTGTGGTGTTTATTACAGGGGGTTTGTGATAGTTCCCCCGGTGGGGAATGGCGTGTGCTCCACATCATGTTACACACACAGTTCCCTGTAATGCCTGTGGTTTGAAGAAAGATGCTATCTCTCTTATTTGGGGTTAAGTTGCTGATTTGGTGTGATGTACGTGCTGAGAGGTGCCCACACATACGGGTGAGGTCCGAGCTCCTGTTTGAGTGACCTGCCAACCAACTGTGTATTTGATAGCTTACATATTTTACTTGACCTATGGAAGGGGAAGCCGTATAGGCCAAATCCTTTGCCTTCTTGCAACAGGATGTGTGTCTGCGTGTGCGTGGTTGTGTGAGAGTGTGTGTTTTAGTGAAGCTGACATTCAGACAATCTGGTTTTTTTTTTTTTTTTAGATTTTTAAAACATTTTCTCTGGAGGTTTAGCAAACTTAGCTGGATTAATCATATTCAATTCTGCAGCAGTATTTACAGTCGAAAGGTTATTTCTAAAACGAATAAACTCCGAACACTGCATTTGCATCTTGTTGTCAACATTTTTACTTTTTTTTTTCTTTTGCAAACAAAAACTTCTTCATATTTAATTTTGATTTAAAGTGGGGGATCATCAAAGTGATGCATTATTGTGAAGGGGAAGGAGGTCAAAGGGTTTTTGTAAAATCTTTTGCAAAAATCTAAATTCTTAAAAATTCCCCAGAGCATGATTCTGCCACTCACATGCCTTAGTGTTATGTGCTGTATCTCCCAAACACCACATGTCCACTATATGGCTGAGGTTAACTTTAAACAATAATTTTCATGGCTGAATTTAATCCGTTTTCTGTAACACGTCACACTTTTTAGATATTTGTTAGTTGTTAAATGCATCCCTTTGTGTAGGTCTGTCACATAAAATCCTAACAAAAACAATGTGAAGTTTGTGGCTGCAAGGTCACAACATGTAAAAATGTTTACAGTGCTGTCCTTTTTACCTAATACTTTGTTACTTTACTTTTAACTTAAATATATTCCGAGTTGTCATAGAATGTTTTCTGATTAGGTTGACCTTATGTTGCCCCTTTAATTCAGAGCCAGTTACTACATAATATCATTTGCTTGCTTGACTGTATATTAATGTTTTCATGAACTGTTGACGAATCGAACGATTTTTTCATTGAAAGCCAATCTCCTATTTCAACTATTCATGAGTCTATTTAAAGTTCTTTCCTCTCAGTTGCTGGTCTGGCGATGTGGTTTCTTTTTGTCTTTAGTAAAACAAAGGACCGTGTTGTTTGTTTCGGCTTTGATGTGAGGGTCTGCTTGTGAACGTTTTTGTTTTGGCCTTTGCTTTTGCAGTTAGATTGCCCAATACATTCTTGTTACAATCTCTACACAAAAAGCATTTGTTACCAAAGGAAAAAAAAAAGTGACACTCTGCACACTCGTGTGCGTGCGTGCGTGCGTGTGTGTGTGTGTGTGTGTGTGTGTGTGTGCGTGTGCGCGCACACATGATACATCAGTTACTCAATAATATGCAGGTATTTGAATGCGCTTACTTGTCTGCATCCCATCTGCATGCTTGTGAGAAAGTTTACGGTTCATATCACGGAGGCATGTGGGGTGCCTGAGTGGCGCACATCAGAGTTCTGGAACCTCGGCCTTTGAGGGGGCCGACAGAAGCCTCCCAACACGCCTCTGTAAGAAGAGACCCTCCTCTCCCTTTAGCACCAGCTCCCAGCATCTGAAACTCGAGCTCTTCCACCTCTGGTATCACAGGCCGAGGTATTTCTGCCCGTCTGTGTGAGCGAGAGCCGCGCTGCCACACATCATGAGAGGCATTTCTGCCATTGGAGTTATGCCCGACACATCAGGGTGCTTGGCTTTCAACCGTGCATGACAAGCCGCACGCCAACAGGGGGCAGCATTTCTGCAGCTGATTCTGGGACGACGAGGTATTAAGCTCTTTCGAGGATGACTCTGAGAGGCACTTCTTGCACTTGTTAAGAAAAATTCACTCATAAGGTTAAACGTCTTGGCTAAGAAAAACGGGGAGACGGCATCATGCGATCCACCGCTTTCATCCGAGGAACCTTTTCACCCCTCGCGTCTTCACTTTGTGACACTTTTATGCTCTGAGATACAACATGGCCAGCAGCTGTTAAGTCTCAGGCAAACTGTCACTGAGAACAACTCTGCTTACAAGCTTCAGGTGTTTGCAGTTAGCACCCAGCCGCTCTCTCTCTCGACTGGCTCGCACACACTACGCACAGCTTGCCTGCCATACAAACCCTCATTACTTGCACTTGAACACCTCTCTGGTGCCTGCAGTAATTAGAGCCATGTGGAGGCTGTTTGTGTCCTGTGTAGAACAGGGTGTATTGTCATGTTTCTCCAGCTTGCGTTTAGAAGCTGTTTAACAAGGCTGATTCCAGACCGGGAGGAAGCTACAAAGTAAAGGATCCTCTTTTTACAGCCGCCTCATAGTGAGGACCTTCACCTTGGTTTGCCTTTTGTGTCTGTTTGGACAGTTGGTCACACAGAACAAGCAATTACATGATCTTTAGAGCCCATCTTTAAATGGTTAAGGGGCTGAGCTTGTTAAGTGTGTGCTGTGCATCAGTCTTTGGTGGTACATGTAAGGTTAAGAGGTCAGGCCTGCTGTTGTGCAATCAGATCACTTTCAATCAGATATGGGGTCATTTGGACACTGAAGGGGACATGCTGTCATTTCAGAAGTGTAGACCAGTACAAACTAGTGCATAATTGTAAATCAGATAGAAAAAAGATGGCAGTTTAGTTCTTTACAAGTAAAACGGTTAGAAGTGTGCCAGGCAATTGTGTTCAACTGCCTTATAAAATATTAGTTTTGCACTCCAAAAGGCTGTTGTTGAAAGCAAAAAGGTTGCGTGTGGTGGAAAAAACTAACACTGCCCATCACCCTGAACACACCGTACATGCGGGGACGTGTTTCTCTTGAAGGGACAGTGAAGCTAGTCAGAGTTAATGGGAAGATGAACGGGGGGCTAACACAGGAATATACTTGAAGAAAACTTGTCAGAGGCTGCAGACGTTTTGAGTTTTAGGTGAAAGTGTTAAACTCATGTGAATGCTGCAGACCGGAGTTCAGTTTAGATTCTGTTGCAAGACTTCAAGTTTGATATTCACAAAAAGAACATTTTGTGAGAACATTAAGCAGGTTTTTAGTATCTCCATGTGCTATTCTAGTAGAGACCAAGTTTGAAAAATATAAAGGCAGCTATTCTTCTTCGAGCTACTGGAATATCTTACTAGTTGTGTCTAATCTGACAGTTTTGTAGGGTTGTCAAAGAAGAACGTTAGTCTCTTAGTATACAGGGATGGTACATCAAAAACCTGTCAGCTGTAATTGTGATGGAAGATGTTTCTTATAAATATTTTAAGAATGACGTATAGGTTTCATTCATTTCAAAATTGGGTACAACTGTATGTCAGTCTGTCACATAAAATCTTTGTACAATACATTGAAATTTGCAGTTCTAATACGAGAAGATTTTGAAAGCTGCAGGAGTTTGAATACTCTTGCAAAAATCTATTCCTGCCAGAAAATGTAGAAAGTACAGCTTTATTTATGTGATGTTGTCGGTGTTGACGGATATGTCTGGAGATCCATCTTTCACCTTGGAAGCACAGAGGTAGCCTCAAGTTCTCCGTGTCCTGGATTCCCACCTGAAAAGGAAGGAAAAAGTCACTTTTTTTGCGGGGAGAGATGAAGCTGTGCGATTTGACCGACAACCCCCACGGCAACATTTTGTTTTTAAAGCCGTTGTAAATCAGACAGGAAGCTTGCTGCTACCTACAGGCCCACAAACCTATGACCACAGGAAGAATACATAGCACATATAAGAACCAGTAATAAGGACCATTAATGGCCACTCTAAAACAATAACAGCAGGAAATGTGTCTCCCTAAGTGGCCTCGTTTTGGATTCGTTTCACGAAGGCCCGCGGCAAGTTCAGAGCGCCAGACCAGAGCAACACACCCAGCTCTGTGTGTGAGAATTTTACCTGTGCGTTTGTTTTGATGTCCTCAGGCGCATGTTTAGCGAAGGCTTCGAAAAGCGACCGGCTGCACATTCACGATGTATGAGGTCGGTTATGAAGAGGGTATCCTGTGGCGCAAAATCCAGGTGGCTTTATTGCTTTATGCTGCAGGGGGGATGGGGATTTCAAACTGGGGAGTTAAATATACAATCTTTAAAAGGCAAGCTGCTCTCTACCCTGCTGCTGCAAAAAGTCAACGTATAAGCCCCGGTTGGAGAATAGGGTTCAAACATTTAAGTTTCTCTTTATTTAAGAATTATTTTTACCTAATGGTTTGACAGTGTCACCGATTAATTTGTTGCGACTTGATTGGCAGACAGTCATCTGTTGGCTCTACGTCGAATCTTGGCAGCTGAGATTCACAGCTGTTGTTTGAACCTTGTCTTCTCAGGTTACACCCGCCCCTCAATTTCTATGTCCGCACATCTTCTTTCATTACTCTAAGAAGGGAATATAGAAGTGACTGACTCCTCATGATATCTTCTTCTTATTGTGAGGATTGTGGAAGGCTTAAGTGTGCTCAGTTCATTTTGTCACAGGAAAGGTGAACACAAACTCTTGGATAGCTGGAATTTTTTTTTTTTTTTTTTTTCTGCATGGGGCCCCTTTTCTGAGGTCTCAGTTTGGGCTTTGGATTTGGGTTGAAGAGGCATTTCTGGATAAATAACTGCATT